GGGCAAGAACTGTGTCCTGTCTGCACTCATCAGACCAAGCAAATTGGGTCTTTAAAAAATTTTTTTTCTTTATTGATTTGAGAGAGAGAGGAAGGAAGAGGGAGAGAGAGAGAGAAACATCGATGAGAGAGAACATCGATTGGCCGCCTCCTGCATGCCCCCCACTGGGGATGGCACCCACAACCTGGGCATGTGCCCTGACTGGGAATCAAACCGGTGACCTTTTGGTGCATGGATCGACGCTCAACCACTGAGTCACACCAACTGTATGTAAATTGGATCTTTTATTAAATGATGTAAACAAGTAAATCTCAAATGATTCACAAGTTTTTCCCCAAGAAATACTGTGTGTCTGAGAACAGAGGCACTGGGGAGACTGGGGCACATTCCCAAACTCCAGAATAACCCAGTGGGGGGAGGCCCAGGCAGACGCTGCACGTCCCACTTTACTCAGAGATGTTAGGACAGTGGGACCAGGCTCTTCTCCGAGGAGCCATACAGAAATTGAAATGACAAATGACACCGTCTCTTTAGTTCCCGGAGATGCTGTGGCGGACGCAGATGCTGCGCGGGTCAGGTTCCCATGCCTTAGAAGTACATCGGAGTCCATGCAGGGGTTGTTGATAATGGCTTTGTGATGATTTGTGGTCATCATCCCTGGTGGACCATTTAAAGCAGCTACCACAGCTGCACTGCCATGTGAGCTGGGATTTCTTGTTCAGAAAACTCAGCACAAAGTCTAAATCGCATTGTGAAGTCCCTGCCCTGGTGTTTGTACCTCTCTGTCAGGAACGTTATCTGAAACGTTGACACAAGGCAACAAGCCTGGCCCGAGTGGCCCAGTTGGTTGAGCTTCAGCCCATGCACCGAACCATTGCTGGTTCGTCTCCCAGTCAGGGCACATACCTGGGTTGTGGGTTTGCATCAGTGTCTTGCTCTCCCCCCACCCCTTCCTCTCTCTCTAAGAATGTCTTCAGGTGAGGATTTGGGGATGGGGGGAGAAAGATGGCCTCAACTTGGGTGGCATATCCTTTTCCACTAAAAAAAAAAAAAGTTTCCTGACTTATGCATCTAACAGCGACTGGGTCCTGACTGCCTAGAGTCACCTCACTCCCCAGTAGTTTTCAGCCTGGTTTTAACATATCACTGCTTCCCCCTCGAGTAGAACTTTGATATGAGCTCATTTTATATTTTCATGAGCACCGTGGCTTTTCCTTTCTGAATTACACCTTAATGGCTGAACGTGTTGGAGTGAGATAGCAGTCAGGTTTCACTCTCTCCAGATAACCAACCGTCCCAGATACATTTGTGTAAAGGACTCTCCTTTCTCCGTTGGGTTGAGCCAGCCCCTCTCCTGAAGCCTGCTGCTTGTCCCTACACCACGTGGCCTTACTCTCCGCGGCCTTAGACCCGTCGTGAAGGCAGTGTGCGTATGGTCTACGATTTTGTTCTTTAGCAAGATGGCTTTGGCAAGTCTGGGCCCTTTGCATTTCCACATGGATTTTAGAATTAGGTTGTCAACTTATACAAAAAGAAATACTCTTACTGTAATAGGATTGGGATTGCTTTATAGCTATAGATTCATTTAGCGGACTGGACTTTCTGACTCCACTGAGTCAGTCAGGAACTTGGGTATCTCTCTGTATGTAGGTCTTCGCACTATCATTGTTTCCAGCATATAGGTTTTCCACATGTTTTATTAGATTTAGTCCTAGTATTTTTTAAATCTTGTTTTCATCTGGGCCTGGAGTTTTCTTTGTAGGATAGTTTTTATTACAACTTCAATTGGACTTTTTAGATTTTCTAGTTCTTTTTATATAAATTTTCTTAATGTTTTTCAAGGAATGTGTCTGTTTCATTTAAATTGTTTACTTTATTGAATAGCAGTCTTACTATTTCTTTACTATCCTTTTTTTTCTTTATTGATATTAGAGCGAGAGAACATTGACTGGCCGCCTCCTGCATGCCCCACACTGGGGATCAGGCCCACAACCTGGGCATGTGCCCTGACTGGGAATCGAACCAGCAACCTTTTGGTGCATGGGTCAATGCTCAACTACTGAGCCATACTGGCCAGGCTCTTACTATCCTTTTCATGTCTGTAGGATCTGTAATGATGTAGTCTTTAAAATTTCTGGTGTCAGGAACTGGTATTTTTCTTTATCAATCTTGCTAGGGGTTTATTAATTTTATTAATCTTTTCAAAGAACCAAATTTTGACTTTATTGATTGCCTTTATTATTTGACTGCTTTACACAATTTTCCTTAATTTTTACTCTTTTTCTTACTTTTCCTCTATTTACTATGGATTTCATTGGCTTCTTTCCCTAGTTCCTTGAGGGGGGAATTCTACACTTTTCCCTTTAAACAGTCATTTGAGGCTCACTGGGACTCATTTCCTACTTATAAGCAACCTGAAGTTTACCAGTTTCCTGTGTCCTCATCAAGCTGAGGGAATGGGTTGCGTAGTTTTGCTTGTTCTCATTGCTTGCCATCATTTTTTAGACATGTGGGGCCTGGATCTAGGTGGCTGCCATTATCCTAGGTGTGTAGAAATCTTCATTTGCAATCATGTAAAAGCTTTTAGAAGCTGGTGTTTATAAACCCTAATGGAAAAAATTAGCATGCAACCTGCATGGACAGTTTACCAAAGAAGAAATCCAACTTACAGGTGTCTGTATGAAATGTTTTCAATCTCATTGATGATGGAAGTCCTAATAATGGTAAAATAATTTATCGCTTATCAAATTGGCAAAAGTGTAAAAAAGAAAGTACCCAGATGGTCAAGAATTAAGAGACGTTGAGTATTATGATATACTGCAGATGTCCACAGACTTTATAAAATTTAAAGTCTCTAAATTTCTGCATTTTAAATATACAAATGGAAATATTTATAAACTCTACTGTCTGGATGTCTCAGCCTCCCTCATGTCCAGCTTCTATGCTGGCAGAGTGGAGTCACAATTGTCCCTGCCTCATGGGGGTGATGTGAAATCGAATGAGATATTGCACATAGGTTGCCTGACACGCATGAGGCATCCATGTGTGCTGTCCTTACTTTATCATGGTGATGTCGAAGATGAAGGGGAAGGTGACAGATAGATGGTGGATAGATAATAGATGGCAGATAGATAGATGATAGATGGTAGATAGATAGCTGATAGATAGGCGATAGATGGTAGCTAGATGATTAATAGATAGATGATAGATAGATAGATAGATAGATAGATAGATAGATAGATAGATAGATAGATATAGATAGATAGATGATTCATATCATGCTCACTGGTCATGCAGTTAGGTGCTGTGGTCTCTTGTGCATCTTCTTCACTAGTGATGAATCTGGGAAGCCAACGCAGGATGGTCCAGAGGGCTTGCTTTACAAATGAAGGGAGAAACAAACAAACAAACAAACAAACAAATGAGGGGAGACTTTCAGTCAAGCACAAGAACCACATGCTGTACTTTTCTCTACACACACGAAGTCCAAATAATTATAAATATAACAGATTTAATAATCATAAAAACATTGTAAATAACATACACTAACAAATTTAAAATCAAATGAAATGAATGCATTGTTACAAGATACTTTAGGATGCCAGAATTTATATTAAAACATTTAAACCTGCCAGGCCGGTTTGATTTAGTTGGTTGAGTGTTGTCCCATGCACCAAGAGGTCACCATTTCGATTCCTGGTCAGGGCACATGCCCAGGTTGTGGGCTTGATCCCCAGTAGGGGACAAGCAGCAGGTGGCCAATCGGTGATTCTCTCTCATTGATGTTTCTCTCTCTCTCTCTCCCTTCCTCTCTCTATAAAATCAATAAAAACATATTTTAAAAAAATTTAACCTAAATATGTTAACAACCATTATATAAATGATATAGTACTAAAATCTACCTATTTTCACTTGCCATCTCCCCAGAATATGCCCCAAACTGGATGATGTAAGAGGTGAGGTGAATCAAACTCTCAAGAAACACGTGAACTTTGTCTTAAATAAGTGGGTCCAGAAAAACAAAACAAGGGGGAAGGGGCCAGACTCATATCTGATGATTATGTATACTTGACACCAGAGTGGGAGAAGCTTGCAGTCTGGCTTTTCCTTAAATATAGAATATATTTATGAATAACTCCCAAGTGAAACGAATCAATTTGTAGCATTTAAAGTTATGATCAGATAAATTTACCCACTGTGTGCCAGAATGCTTCTTCCTCAGGAAGTCTATCCCTGTAATGCACCACACTAATAAACCAAAAAAAAGCTATGTGGTTATTTCAGTAGATATAGAAACAGCACTTGATAAAGTTCAACACTTTTTCAATATAAAAACTCTTAGAAAATCTGAAACACAGTAAAGAAGGTGAATGTTGAGGAAGTCTCACAGGTGAAATGAAAGTCTTCTGTTCTGTTTCAGGTACTGATGGTGTGTCCTCTTGTCATGACGATGTTTACATTTTATAAAACAAATTTGTATTCATCCCAGAAACAAGAACCCAAGTCTTGAGCCTTATAAACCATGGCCAAGTTCCCACGTCCTCTGCTAACTTGGGATCTGTTGCAAAATAGTCATACATAAATTAAAATTAGGTATTTCTCACCCTGGCTGGTGTTGCTCAGTGGTCAGAGCATCAGCCCCGACACAAAGTGTCATGGGTTCAGTTCCCAGTCAAGGACACGTATCTGGGTTGCAGGTATAATTCTGGTCCTGGTTGGGGCATGTGGAGGAGGCAACCAATAAATGTGTCTCCTCACATCAATATTTCTCTCTCTCTCTCTCTCTCTCTCTCCCTTCTCTCCCTCCCACTGTCTCTAAAAAGCAATGGAAAAAATATCCTCTGGTGAGGATTATCAACGAAAAGTGGGTATTTATGGGGATTATGGATACACACTACACAGAGGAGAAAAGGTTGACATCTCAAGCAAAATGATACTTGTTCATTTTGAGTGATTGCATGAATGGGTCTCGAAGCCAATTTGATGTTTGTTTCTTCCAGTCTCTGGACGGCTTTGCTCTGGTTGTGAGCGCGGAAGGGGTGATATTTTATGCATCAGCAACGATCGCCGACTACCTGGGCTTCCACCAGGTAAGCAACCCACCCCCTGCTACAGGATAGGTTCTGTTACCTGGGGATGCTCGCTGTCTTCAAGGTTTAAACATCTCCAAAGTCAAGCTTTCCTTCTTGCAGAGGCTTTATCAGATAAAGATTTCACACTCCACCTTTGTCTGGGGCTCAGTCATGCAAGAGACGTGGCAGTGTCCAGGGAGTCCCAAGTCTAAAGAGCAGTTGAAATGCTGACTGTGGCACAGGCCCCATGACTGCCACACCCTGGCGGGTCCTTGCCAGCAGCATCGATGCTTTAAACCCAGGACAAAGTGAGTTCGGAAACGCCCCCATGGACACGCAGGTAATCCAGTTAGGGGTGGGTCCTGACATTCGGGACCCAGAAGGACAGCTCCTCCAAGAAAAGTTACCATGAGAAGTCCCGTCCAAAGCCCAGGGAGGGGAAGGGAAACTTCTCTGCGTGGCTCTGGGAAAGGAAAGAATCTCGTGAGAAATCCCAAACCCAAATGCAGTTCCCACTCCACAGAGTGCAGCCTCCTGAGTCTGGGAAGAGGAGTCCCCAGTACGAAATTACAAACACACGGGAAGCCGCGGCCTGCAAGGGGCTGGCACAGTCCCCGAGGACTCATGATGACAAACAGGTGGATTTGAGAAAGAACAAAATAGAACTTTGAAAAACGAAGAAGACAGTGTGTCATCCAGTCAGGGTTCTGTCCGGAGGCACAAACCATGTAATAATTAGAACAGTTTCATGTAAAGAATTACTGTAAGTTTATATAAAGATTTATCAACTAGCAACACAGATTAGCAATAAGGGAGAACAGACATAGGCACGCACAGTGCTGAGGCCAGGCCCCGGGGGAGCGCATTCTGGAGACTCTCCTCACTGGCGAGGTGAGGCCTTGGTGCCTGGGTAGAGACGTCCCTGGGGTGCCCCAGGCCAGGGCTGCCAGCAAGAACTGCCCACTGGGATGCTAGTGGTACTCTCAGTAAGACTGCCCATGGTGGGGCGTTCCTCAGGAGGTTGATGGGAGTGTCTGACACCTGAGGGGATGGGCCTCCTCGTGCAGAGCCCAGAGTACCTTTGCTGGCCAAGGGGAAACAGTTGTGAGATCCAGGATCAGAGCCGAGCTATGAAAGGGGGCTTTGGAGCCAGGAGGCAGGCTGTGAAGTTAGTAACAAACATCTCACTAGACGGACAAAACACCATGGGGGGATGCCTGGAAGCAAGGGATCATGGGAGCCCAGATCTGAGAATGGGTTTCTGACACACCTTACAAGTTCAAGTATGCCTGAGGCCCTTCAGGCTGAGGAAGCATTGAATCTGATTTCCATGGAAACCATCATTTTGAATATTTGCAAAACTAAAGTAGCTGTCACTCCACCATGGCTCCTAGGAGCAGTTCCTCTTACACCTGCCTCTAAGTTGCTTTCCCACCACCTGGACCCAAGGACCGCATGACCACCACTCCCTGCCCTGGCCAGGCTTCCTTCTTGTCACAGGCCCCAGGGCAGTCCTTTGACCATCCACGGTAGGACACGGTCCTCTTCCCCCTCCTCCTCCCCCAGCCCCGGCTTCTAGTGCAGCCCATCGTGTGGCCCAGGTGAGACCCTACAGCACGTGGAGGTGTGGCCCCTGAGGGACCCCATGGGATGGTCAGTGAGTGAGTGAAGTGCTGTGGAAAGACCTCAAGTGCGTTCCCGGGCCGCGGGTCAGACCACAGGGCTCTGCCTGTGGGTGGTTAGGTGACGGCTCGGAGCCTCGTTTTGCGCCTCCACGTGGCGAGGCAGAGCAGTGTCCACCACTGAGGCAGCTGCTGGGACCCCAGGGCTCCCTGAACATGCAGGGCACTGGCGCCTATGACACTCGTGAGAGGCGTCCGCACACCAGCCCCACTACAGGGAGGTGTTTCTCCCCTTGGCTGCACCCAACAGTGTGTGACAAGAGCTCCGTCACCAGGTCCATCTCCTGAAGACCCGTCTGAAAGAGATGAAAGTAATAGGTAATGAGTCTCTCGTTCCTAGGACAATGCAAGCACCAGACATGGCCAGCTTAGCCCTGATGTCCTCTCTGTCCACTGTACCGCCCCCCTGTATGTCACAGTCCCTCTGGGGTGCCTCGTTTACACGGTGCTCTTCACCCCTAAGTGACCAGCAGATTGGTGGGCGTGGCTGGTGCTAACGGCTCCTGTGCGGGGGTCCACTCACAGTGCAGAGCTCACAGGACTGCTGGTGGACAGCACAGGATGTGGACACGACGCGATTCCAGCCCCAGGTGGCAAAGCTTTCAACTGGCTTCCCGCGATCGCTGGCACAGGGCCTGACACTAGAGAGACGTTGTTTGGTTTGCCTTTTTGTGCTGTCACCGGAGTTGCCCCGAGAATTCTTTAACCGTAATTTGAAGGTTTTAGCACACCCTTTGGATCAGTGACTAAGGCAGGAGTCCCGTAGAGGACCCTTGACCCCAGGTCTGAACTTGTCATTGGACCTTCATTTTCTTGGAGCTTGGTTATGTCCCTCCAAGGGTTAGAAGTAAAAAAAAAAAAAGTTTTGCCTTTTGTTATAAGGAAATTGTTTCCAAATGCCATTAAATCGGGCATTGACTCTAATTTATGCAAAACATTTCATAAAAAGATTAGAACAGCTTCGTGCTATTGTGAGCTCCTTGGGCAAAATGCTTTACAAAGTCAGGAGCCAGGTCCTTCCTATCACAGCCTTGCACCCTTTGTCTGTCTTCAAGTCCAGCACTTCTTGTGATGAAGACGCACGTAGGTGTAGATGTATATTTCAGTTGTCGTTGACATTTATTGATGGAAGAAGTTGTCTGCTCTCTCAAAGGTCAGCAGCTGGGGACTTGTCCCCGCGTCAGCCAGGGTGCCTGCTGGAGCTTGTTGGTCAGAGCACAGGTGTGGATCACAGAGATGCACACGCTTTGCCCAAAAAGTAAAGATGATAACTGCTGGACTTTGTTCAAGTCATGCTTTTATTCTTAACTCCATAATGATGGTTTAGAGCAAAAGTAATGACTGCTTTTACTTGATCAAAGCCGTGGTTTTGTCCATTTGAATAATTGTTATATTATTCTCTCCCCTCCTCGCATTTTCCCCACCATTTCTCTCTCTTGACCTCACTTTCTGGGACTCAAACTCTAGGAGCTTAGGAAAGATGAAGGGTGGTCAGAGATGTCACCCTAATGATCACAATGCAGATCTTGTTTCCTCAAACTGAAAAAATTCACATTTAATGTCTTCAAATGTTCTTTAGTCAGAAATGCCTTTTCTAGTTTTATTATACCCTCCTCCGAGTTAATCTGTCCCGTTTTGCTTGAGCCACAGACTCACACTTTGCATGTTAATTCCACACATCCCTTTCGTTAATAACTGAGGTGTGAGTGGGGCACCAGGGAGACCTGTGGGCAGCTCACCATCCTCTGGGTTCTGTAAGGCTCGGGGTCACTGACTAAAACTCATGAGAGAATAATATGAACTCCAGTGAGAACATGACTACCCAGTGCTCAGAGGTCAGCATACTCTTTTCCTTAATCAAAACCATAGAGGGAAAAATACCATCTATCTCCAACAGGATGGAAAACACCAAATTCTCAGTAATGACTCAACCACACAGAAAATATAAAACATTCTTTAAAGAAATGAAAGAAGTTCCAGATAAATTAAGGGATATGCCATATTCATGAATTGGAGGACCCAATATTATTATAAAGATGTCAGATCAGATTGTGGAATTAATGACGTTATCACAAAACCTGAGCAGCTTTTCTGGAAATTGACAAACTAATTGGGAGTTTTTAAAGCTAAGGGGGTCGGAGCAGGTTAAGGGAGCGGGGGAGATTATGATCCCGGACACAAGACTTCCTGCAGAACTCAGCAGATAAGACGTGTGAGCTTAGTGCAGGGACAGACAGACAGACCACAGGAGAACTGGAAGTCAGAGCAGACCTGTGCTCCGATGGGATTTATGACGAAGACGGCACTGCCGATGGTGGGGAAATGGTCAGTAAATGAATCTGGGCGAACCAGATCGACTGGCAGAAAAAGGAACTTTGATTCTTGGCTCACACTGTACACAATCAATATTAGGTGCCTTGTAGACGTTTCTAGCAGATAACAGGGCAGAGTTAGGAGATGTACGAGGAAAGATTCCTTGGGACAAAACCCCTCCTTGAGGAAAGATGATGGATTAAATTGTGTTAGATCCATTAAGAGAGCAGGAAGGCAGGCCAGGGAGCGGGGATGTTTGCAGTGGAACATGCCCAACAGAGTCCTCCCGTCCAGAACAGACAAAGAACACTGACAAGTCAGCACGAAGGCTCATGGAAAACGGAGAAAACGACGTAAATGGGCAACACGCGCACACACACACGACATGTACACACACGCACATCTAAAGACCAATAAATATGTGAGATGTTCAGTTTCCTTCGATTTCGTGCCATGCAAATTAAAACCACACTGAGAAACCATGACACATTTGCCACCGTGGCTCAAACTAAAAAGGCTGATGTGCCGAATATTGGCCAGAATGTAAAGCAACTGGACTTTCCGTACTTGTCACAACGAGAGTGTGATTTGTACACTCGCTTTGGAAAGCTGTTTGGCATTATCTACTGAAGCTGAACTTTGGCTACCATGACCGAGTAATTCCACTCCTGGGCGTGCACTCAGAGACGCGGCAGTGTCACGCACAACGGGCCCAGACAGCAAATAACCCAAGTGTCCGTCAGCCGGAGAGGAAGTAGCCAGAGGTGGGGTATCCATACAGCAGAACTCATACAACGATGGGGGTGAGAACTGCCACACACACACGTGGGTAAATGGACAGGCACCCCAGGGCACACAGCCCTCCATTTATGTACAGAACCAGCGGAGTCAGCGCTGTGGCCGCCTCTGGGGAGGATGGAGAGAAGAGCCCTCGAAGGTGCTTCTGGTGTCCTGTTTCCTGATTGGGTGGTGGTTACCCGGGAGTTCATCAAGCTGTAGATTTATGATGTGGCCACTTTTCAGCCTATATGTTATGTTTGAATCACAAAAGTTTATCAAGCTGTAGATTTATGATGTGGCCACTTTTCAGCCTATATGTTATGTTTGAATCACAAAAGTTTATTGAGAAAATGTCCCTGTGGAAAGTGAACTTGCGGTCATAGAGCCTTAGGTAATAAACTTTCACAAAAGTTTTTAGGAAAATATCCCTGTGGGAAACGAACTTGCGATCATCAAGCCATCGGGTTAACTGGAAGCCACACGGTGAGACCAGAACCTTCAGGTGAGGTGAGAGCAACAGGTCTAGAGCTAGGGAAAGCCTGGTGCATCCCTTTCCACCATGAGTTGGTCTCTGCCTGTTGGTCCTACGTTCATGTCCAGAGCCCCCGATCCTGGGCAACACGGACCAAGGACAGCATCACTTCTGACCTCTGTGTCCACTCCCTTCTGTGAAAACATAGTCTCTTTGGACTGTGGGGTGCACAGGTGATTGGAATCCAACCTTCGAGTTATGATCACATTCCTGTTCTATGTCTTGTTTGACATTCAGGGCATCCCAGCCAACCTTGCCACGGAGTTCCAGCTGAGAGAAGGTAGTGGGAGATGTGTACAGGCCCTCGTCATGAATCAACACACTCTGAGAACAGCTTTACCAACAATAGCAACAGTCTTTGTGGCCTGTGGTTGTGGCCTCTGTGCCCCAGATGGTGGCTTCCCAGTGGACACATGAGGGTCGACATCTGTGCAAATGGGAGGACAGAAAACCAGAGAGAGGGCTGTGGACTGGTGGGTCCATGTGGCATCCTGGGAAGGGTGGGTGTGGCCTGGAGGTGCTGGGAGGAAGTAAGTCACTGGCCAGGAGGCACTGGTGGCTCCTACCTCACCTCCCAGGGGTGATTTCCTAATAAACTTGTGGTTCGAGTATAACATACAGGTTGCAAGTGCCCAAATTATACAGCTCAATGAGCTCCCTGGGTCACTGAGGGTCAGAATCTATTTAGAAAAGTGCGTATCTTGGCCCAGAGGACATTTGGTCTTCGAGCCGCTCTGCCCCTGAAGTCACCGCCTGGCAGGTGGGTGGGCCGGTGGGCTCTGTGTTCTAGGCTGCATGGCCTACCCTCCCAGGGAGGGGATGGCCTCAAGGCCAAGCTCTGGTCTTCCTCGCGGACGTTTTCTTCGTGGCGTGACTTGCTCCTGACAGGTGGATGAGGCATTTGTTCAGGTAGTACCACTGGGTACCGTGTGAAAACTCCCTCTGCTAAGGCTGAAATAACTCTTTCAATGTTTCAGACGGACGTGATGCACCAGAACATTTATGACTACATCCACGTGGATGACCGCCAGGACTTCTGCCGGCAGCTCCACTGGGCCATGGACCCGCCCCAGGTGGTGTGTGGGCAGCCCCTGCGCTCAGAGACAGGTGGGTCTCTCCAAGGCTGGGAGGCCTTCATGTAAACACAGGGACTGCCCCGAAACGGCCCACCCCGCTTCCACCTCCTTTCCTTCACACCGAACAGCGCCCCCTCTTTCAGAGCCTTCCTCCCATGGGCTCCTGGGCTCCTAAGCTCCATGGCGTGCCCGGCCCCTTCTCTGTGCTCTGCCAGGGCCCAGGAAGCCTCGCCAAGAAGCTGCAGTTCTTGTCTCCCCTCGAGGTGCGGTCTTCCAGGAAATTCCTTTGGCCCACATTAGATTTACCTTTTTAAAAGGCCCCCAAAGATTGTTGTCTGCTCACAGATGTTGCCCCTTGTGGGCCGGACCCCATGCAAAGCCCCACCGAGGCCCCTGCCCACTTGGGATGCGCTTGGCAGGCGTCCAGCTCCTGCAGAGCAGACGCGCTCAGGGCCATGCACCCGGCGCTAGGAGACAGGGCGCCGTCCACCTGGTCCAGCAGGGGACAGAGTCCAGTTCTTTCGCATGTCTCCCCAGAAGCTGTAAATAATTCAAGAAAAGTTTCCAATACAACCTCACGCAACAGCATGACTTCCTCATGAAGCTGAGTGAAGAGAGCAAACCCATTTTATAAAGCTTAAAATGGACAGACAGGACAACCCGTGGCAGCACACTTGCAGTCAGACTGCAGTGACGTGGGGTTTTTGTTTTTATTTAAATCTTCACCTGAGAATATGTTTTTACTGATTTTAGAGAGAGGGGAAGGAGGAGAGACACACACACACATTCATGTGAGAGAAGAATATCTATTCGGTAGCCTCCTATAGGTGCTCTGACCAGGGATTGAACCCGCAACCTAGGTATGTTCCCTGACCGGGAATTGGACCCACTGCCTTTTGGTGTACGGGATGGTGCTCCAACCCACTAAGCCACCCAGGGCTGAAGTGGCTTTTTAAGGGCGAAGGACTGTGAGCACATTTGTCGGAGCAGCTCTCTCTCTGTGGGGTCCTGAGGATGGGATGGACGGGAGCACAGGCGGACATTCGAACTGTGCCCCACCGGGCGGTGCGTGATGTGGTGACAGCTGATGTCACGTGTACAACCGTGCTCATCAGCATGTTCTCTCGGTTTCTCTCGGGCACTGCCTTCCTGGCTCTCACCACCGCCTGCGCCCACCTGGGCAGGAGAGGATGCCATGCTGGGGAGGCTGCTCCGGGCCCAGGAAGGGGGCACGGGCCCCACCGAGTACTCGGCCTTCCTGACACGCTGCTTCGTCTGCCGCGTGCGCTGCCTGCTGGACAGCACCTCAGGCTTCCTGGTGAGTGAGCGGAGGAGGCCCCAGTGATTGCGTCATTGCGTCATTGCGTCATTGCGTCATTGCGTCATTGCCTCTGCTTGCAGGAGGGAAGGAGCAGGGGGAGGGGGAGTGAGGGGCTGTTCTCAGCAGGATCCTGTGACAACAGGTAGGTGAACAAGAGTGGAAGTGTGACGCCTGCTACAAAGAGATGACAAGACGCAGCTGAAATGTTAAGAATCTGCAGTAGGTCTTACACTGTACTGGGTGTTAATATTTTAGTTGTCCCTTTATTTCAAATTCATTTTCAAAATGTTTCCAGTATGGCCCAGCTGGTGTGGCTCAGTGGTTGAGCGTCAACCCATGCACCAAGAGGTCGCTGGTTCGATTCCCGGTCAGGACACATGCCCAGGTTGTGGGCCCGATCCCCAATCGGGGGCATGCAGGAGGCAGCCAATCGATGTTCTCTCTCGTCGATGTTTCTATCTCTCTCTCCCTCTCCCTTTCTCTCTCTCTAGAATCAATAAAGAAAAAATATGTTCCCAGAATACCCCACAAGCACCGAGACCACCTTCCTTCCAGGCTGTTTGGTTTAACCTCTTCTCTTGCAAATAGGTACTTCCACTTCTCATATGTGACCATCTCCTCTTCCAGCTCCTCACTGCAGGGATGAGAGGAAGGGAGGACATGTCCTCCTGGGGGCACAACAGAGCAGAGCCCCCAGCCCATGCCAGACCTCTGTCCGCCTCCCAGACTGTGTGGCGTTCCAGAGCCTCTGACGCTACCTACTCCCCAGCCGGTCCTCACATTCTCCTCTGGTTCACAGCCTCCCAAGAGCCCCAGTGCTCCGCTCTTTGGGCAGCAATTCAGTCCGGAGACCCTCTGACCCCAGGGCCTTTCGCCATCAGTGCTGCAGGACAGGCCCCTTGGGTTCAGCCTCCAGCCCTGTCTGGGTGTGTGCACTGCTACCTCTAGCCCCTGACCGCTGCGCACCCCTTCCAGCCCCACCTGGACTGTGTGCCCCTAAGGGGTTCGTCTCCCCCACGTGGATGCCCTGCTTGCTTCTCCAGGTCTCCCCAAACCCCACCAGGACCCTTCATAAGAGAAGCAACCGTTCATTTGCACCATGATCCTGACATACATGTCAGGCGATTGGTTGCTCATAAAGTTTTTATTTTGATATTTGTTTTAAATTTTGGGGGGAAACAAAGATCATTTTTCTATAGCTAGATATAGATACATTTTACTATGCACTCAAGCAGAGATTGAAATATAGGTTAAACACAAAACTGTAAAAGCACCGAGTAGAGAAAACAAGCAAAATAAGTTAGTTTGAGAAGCGCCTGGTTATGTTTCACCCTTGTGTTCATGACGGCACGATGGGAAGTGGCCAGGCACCCACGAGGAATGCGCTGAGAAGCATGGGCAACAGTGTGTGAGGCCCCACGGCTCCTCCCAGCTCTCCTGTGACTGTGAGCCGCCTCATTTCTACAGGCCGGCAAGGTGGTGGTGCACAGAGCTGGCTTGTTACAGTTTCAGGAATTTAGAGATCCAGCTGACATTAGGTTAGCAGCTTGTAATCAACTGTGGTGGAAATATTTACGCCCAAAAAATTGGCAAACAATACAAATCAGTTTCTTTTTCTCTGGAGAGCTTGATGTTAAACATGTCCCTGCCCTGGCCGGTTTGGCTCAGCAGTTGGAGCATCAGCCCATGGACCGAAGAGTCTTGGGTTGGGTTTCTGTCAAGGGTACGTACCTCATTTGCAGTTCAGTCCCCAGCCCCGGTCGGGGTCGTGCAGGAGGCAGCCAATCGATGTGTCTCTCTCAAGTCAATGTTTTTCTCTCTCTCTCTCTCTCTCACTCCCCGCCCCCCACTCTATCTGAAGATAAAAATACCCTCAGGTAAGGATTAAAAAAAAAAACATGTCCCAGTATTTCCTTGAAGCCTCCACACCAAGTGACTGGCAGATAGCAGGTGCTTTGCAAGGATTTGTTAATTCAAACAATCCATAGACAAATGGAGAGATGGAGAGATGGATGTGTGAGTGGATAAATGAATGGGCAGATGGAAGGGAGGAAGGAAGGAAGGAAGGTTGATTGGATGGATGGAGGGATGGAGGGATGGAGGGATGGATGGATGGATAGGGAGAGAGTAGGGCTATGCTCTTGGGGTATTCTTCCATCAAAAGCAGGACACAAGCACCCTGAAGGGACTTGGTAATTAATTATAGATCAGCATGTTCATTATAGAGAGATCTGTTCTTTATCACAAAGTATGAAGTTAATTGCTGGCTTTTAAACTTACACTATGTACTGTAGATAAACAAAATCAAGCTGTCCCTAAATCTTACCAGCATGTGTGAAGGAATGATAATTTGGAAATGGGAGGTTAAAGCTGGAACAGCCCTCAGAGATTGTTCACTCTAGCAAACCCTACCGGTGGCTGGCTGGTGACTGCCCTGGGACAGCCACAGCCCAAGTTGGTGCACAGCCATGCTCACGCAAGAGGCCAGCTTGCACACCCACACACCCGTGAGTGCACCCATGAGAACACGCTGGCCAGTTAAAGGATATTATAGAGACTCCAGAGAAACTATGAGTCACTCCAAAGGCCTTGGGATAGTCCCTGTCCCAAGAAGGCCAAGCATGGAGAAATGTTGGTTCGTATCTCCTCGGGGACTAAGGATAAGATTCTTGTCTGTGTTTCTGTCCCTGAGAATGTCGTTTTCATGTCCTTTGACCATGTTGCTAACTGCTGTGAATGTGTTTCTGGCTTTTAAAACATCAGACAATGCAGTTTCAAGGGAAACTAAAATTCCTGTTGGGACAGAAGAGGAAGGCGCCATCAGGAACCGTCTTGTCCCCTCGGCTCTCGCTGTTCTGCATCGTGGTGCCCGTCCTCCTGCCTTCTGTGTCAGAGATGAAGGTGAAGGGTGCGTTTTTGAGGGCGAAGCACAGGGCAGACATCCCGACCCCCACGGACACGAAGTGAGTACGAGCCTCTGCAGCCACGCTCACTGTCACTGGTGCTTAAAGCACAGCGCCTGACTCGTAGCACTTCCTGTCTACGTTTTCTTCATTTCCAGGAAGCAATAAAATGAGAAATTTGGTGGATTATTTTAAGCTAGCACATTATGGAAGCAACTATCGGAAAAAAGAAATGCTTCTGTGAACGGTGGCAGCAAACACTTGCCTGTAGCGCTTTGTCCCTAAATCCTCCAACTGCAGTCGAGCCCCAAAGGCCGCCTTCAGAACTCCCCCCTTCGGTGGGTGTGAGTGTCCACGCCTCATCAGCACCCACGATTCACCTCTGTTGTCCTCAACAACCATTTAGACGATTAGAGCATCTGACAGCAGCCGTGGTGACTGGAACGCTCCCGTGTGTCTGGTTTCTTGCGATCATCTTTCTCGTTTCCACTCTTTGTGATGTGGTCTGCCTCAGGTCTGCAGTTGGAGCCACCGCCTTCATGGCACAATCCCCCTCCTTGCTGCTGGGCTCACATGTCTGCACGGAAGGTGGCCTCCAGGGACACAGCTGACCGTGAGCCTGGGGCCGTCCTCCGGGTCCTGGACACATGCCAGCATGCTATGACAGCAGTTTTGTGGAACAGTTTTAACTGAAATATATATGCTTTTTTACTTTTAAAGATATAATATGTCATGAAATAGGAAAGAGGAAAAACATGATAGCCAATGAAAACTACTATAAATGTAAGTGACAAACAAGCTAGATCAGGGAGGTGTGCCAAAGCACAAAGGCTGTTGCCCAGAGACCAACCCACTTGTGCAGAGCCCACTGCCAAGGTCTTCTGTGCCTGGCGGGCGATGAGTCCATTCACGCCTGCTTTCTTACCGCCTGGGCTAACACACTCACACTGTGAATTATTCTCCATCTTCATTTACTGTCTTCACGTTTTCTGTTTTTAAGCTGTTGTAGCTTGATGATTATAATTGAAACTCACCCAATGACTTTTCTCTTTTCTGTATATGTTTTTCCAACCCTACAGACCAGAGAGGAAAATTCTACCCTTCCCATCACCTCCTAGAGCTCTGAGTGCAAGGCGGGCTTCTGCTGCCCCCTGGTGCCCCCGCGGGGGAGTGCAGGCTGGCTGCACAGGAGCTGCATTTGCATGGGTGGGAGGTGTGGTGTGGCAGTAAGGGACGTGGAGGTGGCACATATAATGACAGTCGAGTCAATACTAGACATCCCAGTGCACAGAATATCATTAGAACTCATAATAGGGAAAGACAAAGGCCTTAAGAGAAAGTTGATTTTGCTCAACATTGTAAGAAAAGAGAGAACAACTTCCTTGGCTTTCCTGGTTTTGGAATTTCCAGCTGCTCTGAATGGAATTCCTAAACCAAGCTTTGGTTCACATGTCATGTGTGCTTTGCTCTGAGCTCAGAGGTCACGGAAGGGAACACCGAGAGAATCGAGGCCTTGGCGACTGCTTTGGATATGTATCGTTGTCCCTATAGAAGGCTGTTCAGGTCCTTCACAGCTTTCCTGACGTGTTTGTGACACACCTTCACGCCCAGTTGTCCCTGGATTCTGTATGTGTGAATCCAGCTACTTGCTAACACTTATTTGTGCTCCAAAATCAATGCCTACGGGGCTTTCGCAGTCATTCGTGGTCACAGAATAATGGATAGTTGAGTCCCCCGATGAATACATTCCAACTGAGGGAGACACTTCACCCTCTTTCTCTGCTCTCTCTTCTCTCGTCTCCGTCTCCTGTCTTTGTTCTCACTCTCTGCCTCTCAGCTCTGCTCTCCTGTCTCTGTTCTCCTACAGAGATGACCAGAGGATGGAGAGGTGGGGCAGGGTACAGCAGGGCGGGAAGCTCTGGCTCTGGGGCCAGCCGGGTGGACTGGATTTGAATCCCACTTCTGCCCCTGCTGGAGGGGTGGCCCCAGGCAAGTCACTTAACACGTCCGAGCCTGTATTTTCTCTTGAAAAATAATTTTAAAATAGAATCTAGCAAAAGCAGTTGCCTTGGGCTTAAGATTCCACCTAAACTCTGTGAGGGTGTGTGTGTGTGTGTGTGTGTGTGTGTGTGTGTGTGTGTCTGAGCACACGCACAGCAACAGGGGCAATGGCTTAGCATTCACTAATTTTGTGTCCACAGTGACTGTGTAGAGTATAATCAGTGTAAATAATAATTGACTGTATTTTCATTCTGGCCAACCAGAATAAAACAAAAGCATTGAGAGCCCTGGCCAGTTTGGCTCAGCGGTTAGAGCGTCGGCCTGCGGTCCAGAGAGACCCGGGTTCGGTTCCCGCTAAGGGCACCTACTTTGGTTGCAGTTTGTCCCCGGCCCTGGTTGGTCGTGCGGGTGGCAGCCACTTGATGTGTCCCTTCACGTCGATGTTTCTCACTCTCTCTCCCTTCCTCTCTCTCCCTCCCATTCTATCTGTACAAAAAAAAAAAAAAAGCGTTGAGAAATCATTCTGTGTACACATCTACTTTCTGAAGCAAATTCATTAGCCCTTTATTGGCCCAAAAAGTGACGTGAATTGGAATTTTCAGCAAATCTCTAGCCTGTCCTATTGTAAACTTCCACCATCAACACATGTCATCTGCATGTTATTTTGCTATTATCTGTTCTTTGCAGAGCAAAAGCCACCAGGAGTCTGTGTGTGTCAGAACTGCACGGGAAACCCAATTACTTAGCAGGTACCTTTAAAAGTTCACTATGTCATCCCTTTGAAATGGGTAAATGTGCGTGTGTCCCTCGAGGGCTCTCCCTGCTCCTGGAAACCTCGGCCTAGTCCTTGGAAATGCCATTTGGAGCGGGTGAGCGGGGCTGGGATGCCGGCCAGTTCCTGTGGACGCTGGTCTTGGCCTTTCTGAGGAACTCCATGAGTCACGTCCATGGAGAGCAGAGCCGCTCCTCAGGCCAGGGTTGTTCAGTTCACGCAGTGACGGCTTTTCCCTTCTCTGACCTGACAGGAAGAAACAATGGAGAAAATGGCATTTCAGTGTTCAGGGCACAAATGGATGCCTGCCGCTGGGCCCGGGTTCCAGCCAGGGCCACATGCCTGTGCCTCAGGGGTGGCCCTGACCTCGTCCTTTGCCCTGAGGGGGCTGCAGGGTAAGTGGTTCCTTTGCCCAGTGAGGCTCCTAGCTAAGTCCCAGCCGGTATTGAGAAAGAAAAGAGCGACTGGTGGCCTTGACCGCAACAGCTCCCTCTCTGCCTGTAGTCTGCACCCTGGGTGACTGCCCCCGCCCTCTCCCCTTTGCTTGAAAGCCCTCAGCACTCCCCCGCCCCCACCCTCCCCTGACCAGCGGGGGCCCCCGGGGACTGGCCTGGCTGTGTGGTTGCAGCTCCGCTGTGCCCTCCCAGTCACCGCCTCCCGTCTCCACAGGCGATGCCATACCACATCATGGGTGGCAGCAGCACGGTCTGTGATGGGACCTGGCATTCAGAAACCACCCAGAACCCCCTCCCCCAGTGTTAGTAGCCACTGGTGTGGCGACCTGTCACACATGGCATGTGCCTCGTGGAGATGCTGCTCCCTGAACCCCCACCCCAACCTAGCCCTCAGAGTCCACCTGCTCCCAGGAGGTGGCGGGAGGGTCAAGCCCAGGAAGAAAGGATGGTGGCACTGGTGTCGGAGGGCTGCAGGCAGGCCACTGGTGTTGAGAGTGGCAGGATAGTGTGGGCACACAGATTCAGTCAGTGTCGCCCTGATTGAGAGCCCTCCCTTGTCACCACCCTGCTCTGTCTGATGGGCCATCTCTCCACAGGGACTGGGGAGGAGAGGAGCACGGGAAGGTGCCAAGCAGCTCCTCGGGGATGAGGAGGAGAAGGGACATACATGCTTATGACTGCCGCTTTGAGACACTGAGACCCGCGAGGCAGCCAAACTGGACGACAGGGAAACACGGTCAGGATGGCACCAAGCTGAAGCTGGAGCCTAGCAGGACTGATCCGTTCTCGGTGCATGCCATGACCCGTAGCTCCTGTATGCCCTACCCTGGCGCTCCGGGCACCGTCCCTACCTTCAGGAATTCACCTGGCTCTCTCCAGTCCCCCAGTGCCTATGCCAGCCGGCCGAACAGAGCCTTGCAGGATGGTGATCAGGGCCAGGTACACCCTCCCACCGGTGGCCCCTTCCCCCAAGGCAGCCTGGAGAGCCAGCTCCCTCAGCCTGGAGTGCAGTGTCTCACATTGGGGGGGTATTCCACTGAGGACATCAAGTTTCCAGGTGTGCCCATGCCCCCAGATGCCCCATGCAACCCCATGTTGTCACTTAATGTGCCCATCAAGATGGAAAGTGACTCTGGATCCGAGGACACAGCAGATGGCTACTCTGTGTCCCCAAGCCAGGTGTGGCTGGGAGCCAGTGACATGGCTAAGAGACAACTGGTCACTTTCCCTACCAGGATGCACCTGAAAACAGAGCCAGACTCCAAGCACCACCTGTACCCCCAACACCTGGGGCATGGCATGCTGGGGGCTCCCCCCAGGCCTGGCAGAGAGCTGACCCCGTTCCACCCTACACACTTCGTCTGCCTGGAGCGTGGGCATGGCCCTCCTGAGCCGGAGCCTCCCCCCTGCATCTGTATGCGGGGCCACCGGCCCCCTACTTTGGGCTGTGACTGCAGAGCTCCTGGGACCACACCCATGATCAAGCTTGAGCCCTTGGACTCACCCCCATGGGCCACTCACAGCCAGGGTGGGGTACCCAGGATGCTCCCCAAAAGTGCCTTGGCGACACTGGTGCCGCCCAAAGCCTCCGAGTGCTCTTTTCTGCCATAAATCTGGGCGTTTGTTCAAAGTGGCATCTGTCCACCCTCTCACTTACCTGTCAGCTGGGATGGCAGGTGCAGGTCAGAGCCTTTCTTCAGTGCCCTCTGCAGAGCTGCCCAGGTTTCAGTCCTGTTACACATGGTGGCAGATGCAAGAGTGTCTTCTTTGTTTGTGAACTATCACTGAAGTTCTTAAATGCAAAGTGGTCTTAAGTCTGTTCAATATGACAGTATTTCTCTCTGAGGAATTAAAACTTTTCAGGAAGTGGCCACAGTGAGGCATGTGGGCCTGGTGGGGTGTCCTCCAGGCTCGAGAGGTGGCAGTGAGCTCTGGGCCAACGAGCCATCATGTCTACAGTGCATGAAAGCTGTTGAGGTGAAGTTTCCTGTGGGCCCACACCTGCCTCCCAGCCCCTAGGTCCAATGCGGAGAGCAGCGTAGCCCTGGGTTCCACTGCCACACAGTAGCCTAGGGCTGTAACTCACTGAGCTGCAGGTGACCGAGCTCCATCATGGAAGGAATCTAGCAGAAGGCACTGGAAGCACCGGGTCCTGCAGCATGTGCTCTGCACCCTGCAGCAGAGTTTGAGGTCAAACCAGAGTGGAGATCCACGGATGTTTCTCTGGGGTTTTGAATAGGCCTCTGGAGATGGCTTATACTCATCTGTCTCGGTGCAGCATGTGACCCAGAGTTCACAGAGGCTGGGTTTGCAGGTAGAGAGAAGTTGAAAACGTGGAGGAAAGAAACAGCAGGTTGCATTGTTCTGCTGTCTTGCTGACTGTCTGCAGTTCTTCAAATGAGGACTCCAATCACCATCCCAGGAAGAAAAGCCAGGGAGGTAATTTTTTTTAATTGAAAAGGTAATATGTTCTGGTTGTAGGAAATTTAGATACAAAGCATAAATCAGAAAGTGAAGGTGACCCCCAACCCCCACCCAGAGATAGTTTATGGCAAAGTTCCAGGGGGACCCCAGAGCATCCCATTGGGTTATGGAAACCAACAACAGGCAGGAGGAGGCCACAGCAGGGAGGCCCTGGATTGGGGTCCCCGTGGCCCAGCCTGCCTGTACGGGACAAGGATATCTGTCCTTAAAGTCACCTCCAGCTGGGCATCTCAGGAGGTGGCAAGAGCCCCTGGCTGCTCCACCATCTGGAGATTCTGCTCTTCGGCACAGGGCTTTCTCTCTGTCATTGGTGGCTTTGGGGTGTCAGTGTGCAGTTCCTGGGTTAATGCTGACATTGGTAAATGCCACCCTGAGAACCAGCCACCTGTAAGGACGAGCCACTCCGAGGACCACCTACTTCCCCCTCTCGCCTTACCCTGGCCCAGTGTCACCTGTCTACCCAGTTGTCACACTGAGCATATCACTCCTCTGCTCTCCGGGTAGCTATAGATTTATCCCAAAGACAAGGAGTGGAGTTTCAGAATTTTCCTTCTTCCTCCCTATTCAAACCGAGTGCCGGCTGCTAATCATGCTCATCACCAGAAGCCCCGGCGTCGCTCAGAAGTAGCCATCCACTCTCTGTGCTCCCTTCTGGGAGCGCTCTCCCTCAGCTCCTCCTCTCACTTCATTCAACTGAGGGGCTGCAGGCCACTGCCCTCCCCATCTCAGAGTGCAGCAGACAGGCACTACTGCACACGTATAATATGTAACCGGGAGAACATGGGACCAAAACGATGGAATTCAGAGACATCACTGCATGTTTGCACACTGTAGCCAGATCCCATTGTAACCAAAGGAGAGCTGCAGGCATGAACCTCACGCGAGGAGAGGCCTTTCCGAACACACACAGTGGTCTCTGCCCATGAGGGTTGAGATGCCTGAGCTGCCTCATCCTGCCAACATCAGTGCCTGTGCTGCCCTACCTCCTCCCTAACGTTCAGATGGACCCATCTGTCTGCCTTCTCCTTGGATCATGAGCATCAAACTGGTCGCCGTTGGGCGGACAGGTCATGCTTGTTGATGTAGAATTCAGCACCTGGACCTCAACTCTGCAGGTTTTCTGTCCTTGAGACCTCAGCTGTGCTTGGGCCCAGGTCCCTTCCTCTGCTGGGTCAGCAGCAACAAAATTTCCCTGAGTCAGCACTTTTATTATTTTACATGCTTTTCTGTCCTAAAAATTGTGTGGGGAAGGTGATGACGGGAAGCAGAAGGTGCAGCTGTGGCATTTCTGCTCTGCATTGTCAGTAGCAGAACTAATTACATGCTATGTTCTTCTGTTGTCTGTAGCTTTTGCCTATATTGAAAAGGTGGGGATGGGATAGAAGGTGGCGAAGACAAACACAAATTATATATTATATTTTTACAGTTTCTATTGGAAGAAAAAGTTTTTGATATCTAGACCGATTTGTTGAATTTTATAAGTGGATCACTATAATGTAACTTTTTGTAGTTTTCTTGGTGCCTTTAGAAGGAGCTTTCAAATGTATTTCTGATACTGTGGTTTCATTATGTTTGCAATATTGATGTTCAATAAATCATGGGACTATGTGTTTAGCATAAATGGAAACATCTATTTGATTTTTCAAATGAAGTCACTTTATTTCCTTCAAAGTGTGTATTGGTTAAATTACATCCTAAGACAATCCTTCACTATAGATACAAGGCAGTAATAAAAGTAAAAAAAAAAAAACATGGTGGAGCCAAAGTCACAAGGAGGAGGGAGACCGAATACCCGGGCAGCATTCTTGCTGTGGCCTTGCAGTAGTTCCTCCCTTCTCCTGCCAGCCCCTCTTGCCCATCCCTGAGGGTTGGGGAACCCCGCAGGTGCCTTCAAAACACCCAAGATTTGACCTTTCCTGTGAGAGCAGATGCCCCACCACCACATGTGTGTGGGGCCCTTGTGGGGTCAGCCTTACCTGGCCCAGGAACTGGTGATAGGTGTGTGGGAAGGGACAAGGGTCAGCAGACCCAGGCAGAGACCCCTTCCAAGGCCCAGAGAGTGGTGGTTTTATTTCCTTCAATTGGTCAAAAAGTGCCCCCCCCCCCCCCAAACTGAACACACTTCAGGTGCTCTGGACAGAGCACAGATCTGCCCCTGCCTGTAGCAGGTCAAGCACTGGCCAGGCCTCCCTTGGGGTCCTGAGACTCCTGTGTCCTTCCCGGGGGAGAGCAGGCCAGCCAGCCCCCATTTGCTGGGCCAAACCCAGTTGCTCCCTCTGTAGTGGCCTCCTGTCCTTCCTCGTGACCCCATGCCCTCTCCCTGTCTTGCCCTTGTTCTTCACACTCACCTGTGTTGAGACCTGAGATGGAGGTCACTCACTTTCACTCTGTCACATGACTACCCCGTTCCTGTGGGGACAGATGGGCATGGGGGTCAATTCCAGACTCCTCAGTGTGCTCCTTGGGACTGAAGACCTCTCAAGAGTGCAGCCCATGGTCCTCCAAAGGGCCCTGCTATTTGTGTGCCTTAGTCTCCCCAGGCTGCTACAACAGCACCACCACAGACAGGGGCTCATCAACAACAGACAATTATTTATCATATTCTGGAGGCTGCACTCTGAAATTGTAGTGCTGGACAGTGGTAAGGGCTCAGCCAACTCCTCACTGTGTCCTCACTGGTGGGAGGGGCCAGCTCCGTGGCATACTTTTAAAAAAAAAATTATTTATTTTTGTTACAGATGTTTCTCCTTTTCCCCCCACTGATTCCCTCCCTCCCTCCCCACCATCCCCAGCTTTGTTGTCCATGACCATTGTTCATGCACACATGCATATAAGTTCTGTGGTTTATCTCTTCCCCCCACACCCTCTTCTGGGGATTGTCAGTCTGTACCCCACTTCCACGTCTCTGGGACTACCCCATTCCTCAGACTGTTATGTTCATTATATTCCACAAATAAGTGAGATCATGCGATACTTTCTTTCTCTGTTTGGCTTGTTTCACTTAGGATAATACTTTCCAGGTGCCTCCATGTCATCTCAAAGGATAAGAGATCTTTCTTTCTTACAGCTGCATAATACTCCACTGTGTATGTGTACCACAGCTTTTTTATCCATTCGTCCACTGATGGACACTTGGGCTGTTTCCAGACGTTAGTTATTGTAAACAGTGCTGCTACAAACATGGGGGTACATATATTCATTCTGATTGGTGTCTCAGGCTTCTTAGAGTATATTCCTAGAAGTGGGATCACTGGGTCAAATGGCAGTTCAATTTTTAATTTTTTGAGGTAACACCATATTGTTTTCCATAGTGACTGCACTAGTCTGCATTCCCACCAGCAGAGTACTAGAGTCCCCTTTTCTCCACACCCTCGCCAACACTTGTTGTTTGATGATTTGTTGATGGCAACCATTCTGGCAGGTGTGAGGTGATACTTCATTGTTGTTTTAATTTGCATCTCTCTGATGATTAGTGATGTTGAGCATTTCTTCATGAGCATTAGTGATGTTGAGCATGTCTCTTGGCCATTTTTATGTCCTGTTTGGAGAGGTGTCTATTTAGTTCCTCTGCCCATGTTTTAATTGGGTTCTTTGTCTTCCTTTTGTTGAGTTGTATGAGCACTCTATATATTTTGGAAATTAACGCCTTATCTGATGTATCGTTGGCAATTATGCTCTCCCATGGAGTGGGTTGCCTTTCCATTTTGGTGGTTGTTTCTTTTGCTGTGCAGAAGCTTTTGAGTTTGATGTAGTCCCATGTGTTCATTTTTTCCTTTGTTTCTGTTGCCTTAGGTGATGTATCAGTGAAAATTCTGCTGTGTATGATATCTGAAATTTTGTTGCCTACATTTTTCTAGGATTTTTATGGATGCATGAGTCACATTTTAGTCTTTTATCCATTTTGAATTTATTCTTGTGTATGGTGCAACGTGATGGTCTAGTTTCATTTTTTTGCATGTAGCTGTCCAATGTTCCCAACACCATTTATTAAAGAGGCTGTCCTTACTCCACTGTATGCTCTTGCCACCTTTGTCAAATATTAATTGACCATACTGTCTTTGGTCCATTTCTGGGTTCTTTATTCTGTTTCATAGATCTATGTGCCTGTTCTTGTGCCAGTACCAGGC